TAGCAATTGCAAAGTATTGGAAAACCCAAATGCCTGTACATAGGCAATTGGTTAAACAAACTGTGGTTACAGCTGCACAATGCAGTATTATGCAATTACTTGGAAAAAAAAAGAAGAAACAATAAGAAACTGATTTCTATGGACTGATAGGAAGCTAATTCCAGGATAGTATCTCTCTTTCCACTAAAGGAACACAGGAAGGATAACCAGAAACAAACAAAACCTGTTCACCTGCTTGAGGGAGGTTGGGCAGGAATGAGATGGAGACTCAGTGACATTTCTCTAAGTGTACCTCTTTGTATGTTTTTACTTCTGGAAACTTTGCTAATGTTTCACATTTTCAAAAACAACAACAACAATTATTATTCAACAATGAGGGAAAAAATCCAAGATTGTTTTCTATAATGTTTAATGACACTCAGCATGAAGCAAGGCTTTGTGCTTAGGGCTGCCTGGGGATGACAGGATTCCTTGGAATCCAGATCCCAAACTGGGCTCCACCCTCTGTTTCCCAGGCAACCAGAAGCTTCCACCTTTCTTCACGGCATCTCTCACCCAAGTAATCAGTGTTCTCCACTAAAGGACAACTAAGGGATTATGGGAGCAAAGAGGCTAAGTGACCCACAGTCTCCCCACCCCAATACCACTAGGAATTAACTCCCCACACCAAGTGTGGAAACTAGAACAAAAGGCATTATTAACATTCCTTTGCCATTGAGTGCCCTCTGCTGGTATAAATGAAATGTGAAGACTGACGATTTTATTTGCTTATCCTCAACTCTAGTCTAGCTGGGAGAGGAGCTTTGATAAGCTATCATTGTTGGAAAATCTCTGGTCCAAACTCCTCTTTGTGTCTCTGGCACCCTTGTCCACTCTGAGCTGTTTGGAAAAGTTGACAAGGAAAACGTAAGACTTTTTCTTTGCCTTCCATCACATGACTGCATTCTCCTCCAGCTCTCTAAACACGCCTTGATTTCTCTGGCCCCTCTTCACCTTCCCTCCCACTACCTCGAAAGTTCTGGTCTGAATCCTGTTCTTTCTGTAAGCTCATCTCTTTCACATTTGTATGGTTCCGTCAGTTCTGTGAGTATCTCCACACACTTCACCTCCTCCAATGCTCCAGACCGTATTTGAAATTTTTACCAGGGACGCCACTTGAAGCCCGCTGTCACTGCACCTCCAGGGGGTCCTAACCTGAGTCCTTCATGTTCCCTTTGTTAAGACTAGTGATCCAAAACCTGGAAGGAAGGTGAAAGGATGACTGAGTGCCTTCATAATGCCGTATGTCACACTAGAGCCGTGGTCCTCTGAGTGCGGTCCTGGGCCAGCAGCCCCAGCATCACTTGGGAACTTCTTCGAAATGCAGGTTCTCAGGCACTACTCAGGATCTACTGAGTCAGAAACTTGAGGGGTGAGGCCCAGAAATCTGTGGTTTCACAAGCCCTCCCCATGTCCCCAGGTCAGAACTACTGAAGGTGAGCAGGGATCGGCCAGTTGGGGCCTGCGGGCCAAATTCAGCCCAGTGCCTGTTTTTACAAAGTTTTGTTGGAACATGGCTGCATTGTAGCATTTATGTATGCATCATTTATGGCCGCTTTCACTCTTCAGCAACAGAAGTGAGCTGAGTTGTGGTGACAGGGAATGTATGGCCCTCATAGCCTAAAATATTTCCTCCCTGGCCCTTTACAGAAAAAGTTTGCCAGCCTCTGGACTAGAGCACCATCTACCAAACCTCCCTAAGGGGCTTTGATGGTGTAATAACTTACTATTTATTATTGAGTTGGGCCCAGAGTCGATAAGTTAGGTGTCAATTATAGAAGATTGATAAATTGCCAATTATTTTTGTCTGATAAAGATGAAAATGATTTCTCTCTGGTAGAGTTAATCACAAAAGTAACAATTGTATTGTCCTGTAGAATGGTAGCTGGTTTGGGATCTAACCTAGCAATCACATACCTTTCGAGTTTTTTCCTTTCATTATCACAGACACACACACACACACACACACACACACACACACACACACCATGGTCTCATATCCTCCTCTGAACCAGTTTTATATTCTTCTGGTTACTAATAAGTCAAATAAATCTTTGAAGCATGCTTACTGTATCCTTGTATGATGCTCATCTTTTTTAACTTACTGAAATGTACACTTTGACACTGACGAAAGTTAATTCCTCCTATATTCCGTCTCTATCATTATTCTCCTTCTATCTCCTGGTTACATGGGTTTGAAACCTTAAACCTGTTCCAATTCCTCCCTTACTCACGTCAAACAAACCAGTCTCCAAATTTCACTGGTTTTACCTCCCACAGCTTCTCTTGGAGCCCCCCTTTCTATCTCCATGACTAACACCAGAGTGTAAGCCCCTATCCCCTCTTTCCTGAATTTTTACAACAGCCCCTACCTGGCTTTTTGTAATCAATCCAATCTTCCCAAAGCTCCTGGAAAAATATCCCTAAGGAAGACCTCCAGCCATTTCACTTCTCTACAAAGCTCTTTGGTGGTTCTTCATTGTTCAACAATAAAGGAAAGCCCCAGTTCCTTAGCCTGATTTTTCAGGCCCCTCAAAATTTGACCCCTATTTGTCTTCCCTGCTCTCCATAATCTGTGCCTATATGCACTCTCGTTGCTTTTCTTCATATTGCCCCTCTGTTTATAATACCCTCTGTCTTATTTCCGCATGCCCAAACCTAAGTATTCGTTAACCCCCAGACTGAAGCTCCTCCGAGTTGATCCTTTTAGCCGAAAGTCATTTCCCTCTGCTGTGAATTCGCAACATTTAATTTGTATCTCTTTTATGGCACATACCACTTTCTATCTTGTGACATGGTCCTTTACAGACATTTCTATGGTCTCATTGTAGAACTGCCTCTAGGATCCAACTTTGTATCCACATTATTGCCTAACTGACAAGAGAGCCAGTGAAATTTTTTTGAGTAGGAGCTGAAAAATTAAAATCTGAACGGAAAAAGTAGCACCAAAATTATTTTTTGAATGTATGAGATCTAATCAAAGTATATTTTCCTAAACTATCTTTTTGTGAATAATTGTTTCCCTCATTTAAAAATATTAACTATTTAATATTAAAGGACAAAAGTGAATATTTTTCAAAAGTTAAATGGATCTTCTTTTCTTCTATTTGGTGTATTTTTTCTTCATAAACAAGATTTCTCATTTCCCAGGGTTGAACTATTTAGTGTTGTTTATTCTTAATGAAGATGACAGTTTTCTGTATGGACACATCCATCAAAAGGGCTGATATAGCTGTTTGTTCATGAAGCCTTAAAATATTTGTTCTTTTAACTTATTAAGAAAACATAAGCGACACATTTTTAACTGGGAGGAATATTAGTGTCTAAATTCTGGGGACCCCCAAATCAATCAGAGCAAAGGAAGTTATGGCACATATGCTGTCTCCTACTTAATGGCTTTCATTCCCATCACATTATAAAACAGTGTTTCTCCATATGGATGAATTTCTCATCAATGTCACCTGGAGAGCTTGTTACAAAAGTATATTCCCAAATTCAGACCCTTTGGGGCTGGATTTCTAAGAATCTTTATTTTTTAGTTAAACTCCTAGATGATTCTTATGCACCCTGAAGTTTGTGAATCACAGGCTAAATTTGTATCCTCTTCTAAATTCAAACAGAAGAATTTCCCAAGTGTACCTTAAACAAATCAAGAGGGTTAAGAGAGTTTGTCCATCTCCTCTCTTGTCTCAAAGTGTCCTTTTTCTTTATAACTTTCCCTCAAGTTTTATTTTGAAAAGCTCACACAGAAAAATGAAATAATTATACAATGGACACCCATATACTATACCTTAAACAGATTACTACAGTTGTTTTATCACAAGTCTGTTCTTTTAGCCATCTCTCTATTCATCAACCCATCTTATTTTTTTGGATGAATTTCAAAGTAAATTTCAGACTTCGGTAATGGCTAATTTGGGATGATGTTGACTAGAAGAATAACAGGACAGTGAATCCTTGTAGCCCTGGTGAAAACACAGTGGCCTCATTTAATTGGACAGGATGGGTTGCTGCTTGGCCTTGGCAGGACATTTATTTAGAATACAATTAATCAAAGAAAGATAGTTTGACCTGGCTGTAGACAACCCCCTGCAAAGTAATATCTACTTGTCTCTATTCATTTGAATGGGAGCTTTGTTTTGTTAAGAAGAAGAAAGGGAGGTTTGGAGAGAAGATAAACGTGGACGCAGATGGCAGCAGTAACCCCTCCCCTTTCCCATGGGTTTTGAGTCTCTAATGGAGAGATGGGTTAGAGGCTGAGGTTTGCTAGTTTAGTGGTTAATAGCAAGATTTTAAGTCATACTTGCGAACCCCTAGCTGTGGGAACTGGGATATGATCCTCAGCCTCTTGGCCTCATTTTTTTCATCTGTGAAATAAAAGTAATGATAGTACCTACGTTATATTGTTATGGAGAAAATATGTGTGCCTGACATGTAACTCAATCAACTTCAGTTGCTAAAATATAATTACATTCCTTGATGAGTTTCCTTAAGTTCACACCAAATTAACATAGGTGACTGTGGCAGCTGAACAAGAAAGAGACCAGTCAACTAAATGATGTTGACAAGTAAACCTAAGAGAGATGCAGAAGGCAGCAATCCTTCGAAAGTTCTTCCAGACAACCCATTGCACTTCAAATGAAATCCAATTTCTTCCCTTGCTCTGTCTGCAAGGCCCCTACATTATCTGGCCTCAGCCTGCATCTCCAGTTTCATCTCCTTTCCTTCTCCCTTGTTTAGCCCAAGCCACACCAGCCTTTGGTTTCAGAATAATCCAAGCTCCTCTGGTCCTCAGGACATTTGTACTTGTTCCTTTGCAGGAGAGTCTCTCCCCAGAGCTTGACAGGGCACGAGATGCGGTGAGAAAGGGCTACGGGCGACAGGGGGGCGGGGCAGGGGAAGAGGCGGGGCTAGAGCGGAGGCGGGGCAGGGCGGAGTCGCCGGAAGTCACGGCAGTCAGGGCGGAGGCCCAGGAAGTGACGGCCCCTCCCGCAGATTTCTGGAGTCGGTGAGCTCGGCGCCCCAGTTCTGTGATCGCTGTGTTCACGGGTCCTGGGCGATGGAGAACGGAGCCGTGTACAGGCCCACCACGGAGGAGCACCCGGGCCCTGCCAGGGGCCCCCGGAGCGGCCTCGCAGCCTACTGCTTCCTGGGCCGGCTCAAGTGGCCCCGGCGAGTGCTCAAATTCTTGCAGCTGGTGAGTCTGTCACCGGGACCGGGGGAGCCTGGGCCAGGGAGGCGGGTCTGGCCCCTGGGCCGTCAGCTTGGGAGGCTTCCGAGCCGCCCCTCCTTAACCTGGTTGTTCAGGAAGCCCTTCCCACACCCCCAGTTCTTTCCCTCTCCGCCTGGGGAGGGGGGCGTTACCCTCTGCCTCCCACCCCTCCCGTTGGGCGGCCACTCATCCCCAGATCCATCCCTGGCTGGGTCCCCGAAGGCGTCCTGGAGCCACCAAGCATGTTAGGCAGGTCCAGGAAATGCGTCGGAGCAGACCTAAGGGAGACACCTAGACTCAGTTCATTCACTCTTCTTGTCGCCGCTTTCGTCTCTCCTCCCAGCTATTACCCTGCCTTGTCTCCCCAAGTGCCTGTATTTAGACTACGAAATGCTTTTTGTTTATCTTTCTCTGGTTCTGGTTTTCTTGGTGCGAGCCCATGGGGACAGTTCAATGTGGTGGACAAAGCCTTCCGATACCTCCCGCAGCACTGAGATGTGTGTGTCCAATAAATTGCCTCCCAAAAGTTTTATACTGATTGGGAAAGAACTGTTTCCGAGTGGGCATGTGTGTGGGAAGTACAACGTCGAAAGGACAGCTTTCTGTGTTAGTGTGCAGGCAGCAGGACGAGGGCCTGGTATTTTCAGTTTCATTGAGTTTCAGTTTATTTTTTAGGCAGTGAAGGTCCCTTAACCTATTAGTGAAAATATCGAAACATCTTTGAGATTTAAATTTTGATTCAATTTACACACATATGAAGCTCCTATATTCTGTTTTAACCAGCAGTGAGCAGCAGTTTCTGCAAGAGAACAAATGAAACTGCTTAGAATGTGGATGGGTTGGTTTGTTGTGTGTGTGTTTTTTTTAAACCATCCCAAGTAAAAATAGCCAGTTGGTTTCCTTGGGAAGAGCTTAATTTCTTAGAATACAGATAAGCAGAGCTTGCATTCTTAGAACTCAGATGACCTACTTTTAATGAAAAGAAAAATAGCAGTCAGGAAACTGGCACTATTTTTAAGCCACCAAAATCACATCTGGGAATAATTGGGAAATCACTTGGAGGCAAGTGACCGTGGAGCCTATGGAACCCAGGGGGGTCTGGCTCTGCCTCTGCAGCCTCCTTTTGGTTACATAGTTAACACAGGGCAGCCTGTAGGCTGTTATCAAGTATCAGGGACTCCCTCCTGCTATTGTTCCTTCCGCCCTTCCTCATGTCAGCTCTCACGTGACTTAGATTTCAGCAGTTTCTCTGCTGTTCCCCATTAAATCTCCTATTTTCAGTTGCTATTTATCTTTCCTTCCTAATCAGAAGTGGCAGAGCTAAAGTAAAATGTCTCATTACCTTATTTGTAGCTAAATAAACTATATAGTTCCTTATCTTCAGAACTGAATACAACCCGAAATTTTGGTGGTAGACTTTACTTGGACTCAGAGAAGAGGGGTAGATGAATTTGCCTTGCAAGGGTTGTTAGGCTTGTTCTCCATCATCCATAAGGATAAAGAGGGAAAGAATAAAAACTAATGTCTCTTCTTGAGATCTATGTATTTGTTTATGAGGAACTTGTGATGTTATAGGAATGCTTTCTTCAGTATAGATTTTTAAAAATATTTTTCATTATTGCCTTTCATTTTGATGGTTGTCTTTTTGTTCCTGCTTTGTCTTTTTTAATAATGTCTTAACTTTCACAACAGTAATATTATAGGAGTTACCCAAAAGGTCCCAAGGAACTTATATATGAAATAAAATAAAACTGTCATGCAGCCTGGGGCAACAGTCAAAGTCTTCTTTGACTTAACTCAAATTCTGCCTTTAAGTTGCCTTTTAGGTTGTCTTACTTTAAATGAGTTATTTAAAAAAAATCGAATCACAGAGCTTCAATAAGGAAACAACTGTACTGGGAAAAACCATAATCAGAAGAGAAGGTACTTTAACAGGGGACCTGCAAGTGTTTTATGCAAAATGTAGTGCATTTCTGTCTTTGGGTAGATTATCTGGACCCATACATCTTATCAGATTCTCAAAGACCCCAAAAGAGAAAGGAGCCTTACTCTAAAACTAAAAAAACCAGGTATTGTGGACCTAGGAAATTCTTAGAGTCCTAAGAGGTTGAATTGGATTTCTTCTGAGGTTCTTTCCACTCTTAAGGTTTTTTACAAATCTCTGAGGCTCTGTGGGGTGTGCTGGTACAGAACTGAACACCAAAGGGATAGAGGGGAGCTTGCAAACACAGAAAGGGAGGTTAGAGACAGAAGAACGTTTACTATCTCGAGTTATATATGTGTAACTGAGTTGCAGCCTCTTGGAGTTGTATGTTGTGTCTTACCATTCAGGTACAACCTTAATTTTGTCAAAGGTTTGTCCAAAACATAAGCACCTTCTAACTACTATCTACCCTTTCAGAGCTGAAGAAAAAATAAAGGTTCATCTAGGAATTCAGTGTAAGGAGTCATTGCAGTCCTAAATTTATGCAATTGGTTTATCACCAGTTTATTCTATCCTTAGATTGGTCCTTACACCCATGTATTTTATTTTGTGAGGGTTGTTATTGTTACTTTTTTTTTTTTTTTCTTTTTTTTTAAATGCCTAATTTGTAACACCACTGTTTTCTCTCTATCAGGATTGGGTGACTGCCACAGACATCAGAGTGACCCTGAACAGATTAAACACTTTCGGAGATGAAGTTTTCAATGATCCCAAAGTTCTCAAATCCTACTACTACGCCATCTCAGACTTTGCTGTGGGAGGAAGGTACGTTTTCNCTGCTACCTATTGGTAGCTTAGCGGCTGCTCAGCTTGGGCTGGCATCGAACCGCTGTTGCTCAGAGCTCAAACTCTTGAGCGAGCTCTTAACCAACCGAGCCACTCAGCCGGCCCTGTTATTGTTACTTTTGAGGGAGTTTGTTTTTGTTTTAAGGGGAGAATTACATGTTCACTGTCATTATTGTTCCTATGCGTTTAGCAACCTAATTCCTTGCTAGTAAGCTGGTGCAATGATCTAAATATGTGTAAGGGTCGGCCGAGTGGCTCAGTTGGTCAAGAGTTGGCTTAAGAGCACGAGCTCTGAGCAACAGGGCCGCCGGTTCGATTCCCACATGGGCCAGTGATGCTGCGCCCGAGCTGAGCTGTTGTTGAGCTGCCAACAGGTGGCAGGATGGCTCAGCTGGTGTAACAACAAGATTGCCTGTTTGATGGTGGGCTATGTCCACCCGTAACTAAGACTGAACTGGGCACCTTGAGCTGAGCTGCTGCCCAGATGGCTCAGTGGATAGAGCGTGTGCTCTTAACAACAAGGCTGTTGGTTCAACTCCCGCATGGGATGGTGGCTACACCCACCCGCAACTAAGATTGAACACAGCACCTTGAGCTTAGAGGCCACGAGCTGCCAACGGGAAGCCAGATGGCGACTGGCACCCTCCACAATGAAGATTGAAGAACAACTTGACGGGTGCTTTTCCCCAATTCTCCAACACTGTTCCCCTCCCCCAATTCCCCAATAAAATCTTAAGAAAGTAAAAATAAATAAATAAATATATGTAATATTGTTTCTGCAACAAGCTGACATTGTGTTTATGGTACCAGCTGAATGTCCTGATGGCTGCACAGTACTGTGATTATAATGACTCTTCAAGCAAGCAGTTTGATTCAGAATTCACTAGTGATTTAAACTTACTAAATTATAAATAATGTTATTCTGTAAGTGCTAAGTAACAAATTCCTTAGAAGCAATTCATCTTGTGTTGGTGCTCTCTTCAATATTTAAATGTGAAAATTGACATGTACTAAATTAAAATGCTCTGTTTTTAACCTTGAGGTAGATCCCTGTCAGCAAATTTTATCTTTGAACCTTTTTGGAGAGTAAATATTTGCCTAAGGCAAGGGAGGCCTAGCCTGACTTCAGGCTGACAGGTTTGTTTACTTTAAACTTACATATGATTGCAATTGTCTGCTTACCAAAAAACAAACAAACAAACAAAATCAACGAAAAAATATGATTAAAATAAGCCACACTGCAGCCCTCACACTCTCACGCTCCCCAGCATCACTGTTTCACAATTTGGAGTATGTTTACTTGCTTTTCAAAGGCGTTTTTCCATGGAAGTGTTAAACTTCCGGTTACTTGCCTGTCTTCCCCTTCCTGTGACGGACCAGCTCTCTTCCCCTCCTTACCCCTGACTGTGGTATTTCCATTCCTTCAGGCCCCACCCAGGCCTTGGCTCCTCTTCTAACCCATACACTAAACCAGGCCGCCAGGCAGCCCCTGTTGTCTTCATGGAGAAGTGCATACACCCTGGCATGATCATCACATAACCACACCCACCCAGCACCTTAACCGTCTTTCTCATCACTCCCCATCCAGTTAGGTCAGTTGCCTTATTATCCCTTTTGGGCTTACCATGCAAATTATTGCCTTCATGAATGTGTTCTTTTTTTGGCCCCCTCTTGGAATGTCCTCTGCCTATCCAGCTCCTGTGTGTCTCTTGGCTCTGGGTTGAGTCTTGCCTTTCCACTCATCCTTCTCCAGCTACTTTTAGTCCAGGTGGATCTGAACATTTTCCTGAGATTTCCTGAACTTAGATATAATCAATGCTCAACTCTGAGGTATAAAATATATTGTGTTCTTATTGTTTCTTGTACGTTGATCTTGTTGCTGTCATTACATGTTCCTATGCGTGTTATAGGGCTGCATACATGATACTCAAATACACTTCATTTTTCTTTAATTGAGGTATAATTGACATATAACATATTAGTTTCAGGTGTACAACATAATGATTCAGTGTTTGTATATATTGTGAAATGATCACTTTATTTTGCACTAAAGACGGTAGAGTGCTGTGGGAGATTTATAAAGGAAGCTTAATAGCATTAGAGACGAGGAGTCAGGGGAAAGTTTCATACTGAATATAGCTTGTAGTGGTATTGTCTTGCCTTTAACTGGGAGTAGGAACTAGTAGCTGTCTAAACTTGGTGTTGTACCCCTTCAGTCTCTCAGGATGCTCATGCAGAACCTGCCTCTTAACACTGCTCTGAGGCTTAAGGTTCCTAAAAGTGATTGCTGTTAGATAAGTTTGGAGCAGGACTTGTACGTACTTGACATGATTGTTTCTGGCTCAGCTGGATCCTGGCCCTTTCTTACTGAGAACAGATAAGCAGTCTATATTTATACTACAGATAAGATTTTTTTCTGTCACATAGCCTACACAGATGAGTGTTCCTGATAATCTAGTTATTCTAACAAGAATGGTTCAGGATCGACTATCCTCAAACCCCAATTGGAGTTTTAAGTTGATATCTTTTCACAGTTGATTGACTTTTATACAACTGAGATATATTTTGCACACTTCTCATAGAGAAACTCGTAAAACTAGGACAAGATTTAACATAGAGGCAAGAATAAGGCGAATGGAACATTAGACATTTAGTATTTTATTATACTCTAGTCATGTAAAAACGCATCCTGTAATTATAATTACAGGAGACTAAGGAAATTCCCTTACACAATGACCTTCTCGGATTTGTCTTGGTGTGTCCCTTTATATCCTATGGTTTAATGATTGGGAATGCCTCACCTAGCATCTGTCTGAAGGAAGTTGTTTGGTATATACTGGATCATTTTGTGCTTCACTAATAGGATATCATAGCAGTAAGATCCGTTTTTGTCCTTATGTATAGATTCTTTTCAGTACTGGGGATATATGAATTTTGTATTGCCCAGTGTGTGTGGGGGGTCCCTTAGGCTTAGATGCCAATTTATTTTCATTTATTTATTTATTTTAAAGTTGCAGAAAAGGAGTTTATTAGAAGTAAAAATACATTTCAAAGAAGCAGAAGCGGGCAGGCCTGAGCAGTAGAAAAAAGATAGAGAATGGCTCAAGGGCCATTATTAGAAAAGAAAAAGTATACTCCAAAGAGTTTAGAGCGGGCCCCGGGCAGAGGCAAGGCTCAAAATGCTCAAAAGGCCTTAGATGCCAATTTACATTTGACCTTTTTTAAAAAAAACTTTTGAAATAATTATAGATTTGCAGAAACTGGGAAAAGAATGTACAGGGAGGTCCTATGCATGCACGTGTACATGCGTGTTTGTGTGTGTTTACTTATATGCGATTTTATCACATGTGTAGCTTCTTATGGGCACTGTTAATTTGTTCTTCATCTCTATAATTTTTGTTTGAGGGATGCTATCTAAATGGAAACATGCAGTATATAACCTTCTGAGATTGGATCTTTTTCACTTTGCATAATTGTCTGGACATTCGTTTAGGTTGTTGCATGTATCAGGTTTGTCCCTTTTTATTGCTAAGTAGTATTCCATAGTTATGAACATGCATGTACTAGCACGAACACAAGTTTTCATTTCTCTTGGTCAGATGCATAATGCAGGAATGCAATGGCTGGGTTGTATAGCAGGTACAGGCTTAGTTTTTTAAGAAACTAAGCTCTTTTCCAGGGTGGCTGTACCACTAACCCTTTTTGTATGAAAATGTTTTGTAGAATAAAATTTTTATTATGTACTATGAAATGTATCTGTTGATTTTGTAGTAAGATTGCTGCCCTTAATGTATCTGGTTGCTTCTACTGGCCTGATGTGGGTGAGAAGGCATTTCTCAGTAGGCCTTGACTTGGGACATCAGTTATTTTGATGGTTTTAACTCTCAGAAGGAAACTCCCTCTGCTTCCAGAAACCCACACAAACTACCCAAGTGAAACTCTTCACTCTCCTTCCTCCTACTTCTAGAGAAGAGTAAGCCCCAAACCTGAGCTCTGAATCCTCCCTCTTTTCTTCCTGTCTTTAGACCCACTCATCTTACTGGTTTCTGCCTAAACATTCAAACACGCGCAGTTCTCTCCCGCCTTGAAATCCCCTTCCTGTTGACCTCATCCATTACTACCCTATTGGGCCCCTCTTTTGACACCACACTTCTGACCTATGCTGTCTCTGTTCCACTGCCTTGTTTGCCTCTCACTTCCCAACATGCAGTACTGCAATCTAAGCTTCCCAGCCAGACTACACTGACTGTCGTCTCACTCATGTCACCAGCAGCCTTCTTGCAGCTCAGTCTAATGTTAAGTGTTTCAGTATGGCTCTTGCCTGACCCCTAAGAACCTAATTAGCATTCAGCACTCTTGATTACTTTCTCTTCATGGAAGTCCTTTTTTCCTTGGTCTACTTCCCCTTGGACTGCTGTTCTTGATTGTCGTTTGCTGGTGTCTCCTCCTCTGCATATCCCTTACATCTTGGAGTTCCTCAGAGTTCTGCACAATGCCAGCCTTCCTCCTTCTGAGTGATCTTGCTGGCTCACTGCCACACCTTTATCTGCACCTCAGACCTCTCCCCTGAGCTCCTGACCTATATACCCGTTTACCTCATAGGCCTCTCCACCTAACTCCAGATCCCTCATACCTAGCATATGTAAAACTGAATTTAGTCTCTCCCTGACACCCTTGCCCCTTAAAAAGAAAAAAAAAAAACCTCACAAAAAAAACCTCTTCTTTCTGCAGTGAAGCACCAGTATGTTAATACTGCATACACAACAGTGGGAGCGCTGTTAAAACCCACTTGCATTTAACTGAGCTGCTGAATCAACCAGAGTTAACCATTCTCCATTCAGTGCCAACAAGCATTCTGATCCACGCCAGTCGAGCGCAGACGGCCATGGCCAAGCAGGCCCCTCTGGAAGCGCTCATCACGCTTCCTTCTGCCATCTGTTGACTTGTGTTAATCCCATACTGGTTTATATTAATTATACTTTTTACGGTGAAACAATTAAATATTACACAGACTAAAATTGGGTCTGAAAAGGAATTGTTTCTATGAAAACTAAATTGAATGCTTTGGAAAGATCGAAAAATAAACTACTAAAATATGTTCTGGGGCCGGCCGTGTGGCGCAGTTGGTTAAGAGCACGAGCTCTGAGCAACAGGTCGCTGGTTTGATTCCCACATGGGCCAGTGAGCTGCGCCCGAGCTGAGCTGCCAACAGGCGGCCGGATGGCCCAGCTGGTGAGAGTGCATGCTCTTAACAACAAGGTTGCCATTTTGACTCCCGCATGGGATGGTGGGCTGCGCCCCCCCACAACTAGATTGAAAGCGGCAACTGGACTTGGAGCTGAGGTTGCGCCCTCCACAACTAAGATTGAAGGACAGCTTGACCTGGAGCTGATGAGTCCTGGAAAAAGACAATGTTCTCTTTCCCCAACTCCCCAACACTGTTCCCTTCCCCAATTCCCCAATAAAAATCTTAAAAAAAAATAAATTTTATATATATATATATGTATATATATACATATACATATATGTATATTCTGTAAGTAAGAGCGAGGCAACTGTGAGAGGCTAGTAAAATTAGTGCAGCTCTAGAAGGGTTCTGTCCTTTGTGTCCAAGATCTTGCTCCACTTCAAATAACATCAGTCTGGAAGTGGTAGCCGTACATGATGAAAGCGGTTAATGCAGAAAACATGATGTGGGATTCCAATCAAAGAAAAGACCCACTTCAAATGACTGGTAAATCAACGTGCCTTTCTGTATTAAGTGAAAATATTTAAGTGCACGTGTATTATCCTGCTTCCTACTTTATTCGTAGTCATCCTATCTGACATGGACTTCTACTTCATCTTTCCGTGATTAGCCGCCCTTCTCCATCACTGTTACATTACCCGGGGCACACTCTTCCCTGATTTCCAACATCAGCTTCCCAGCTGGATGTCTGTCCCAAGTTTTGCCCTTCCTCCGTCCCTTCTCCATATTATAGCTAGTGACAGTTACCAAAAGCATAAACCTGATCATGTCACCCTTTGCTTTAAAACCCTTAAAACCCAGGTTCCTTAAACCAGTTAAAGAGGACAGTTAGATTCGGCCTCTGCTTACTTCTCCAGTCTCATTTAATCATTTTTGTGCTGTCATCCCCGCCCTCACACTGGACACTTTAGGCACAAGTGACTCAACTTGCTTTCACAGTTCAGCTGTGGGTTTGGATGTCTGTGTGTGCGCTGGGGTATTAGGGTGCCATGCTCTCACCACTAGGTCTTTCTATGCACTGCTTCTCTGCCTAGAACATCTTTCACTGAGTGTAACCCCCAAACTGACTCTTCTGTCCTTTGGGTCTCAGCTTTCCTTTAGGAAGCCTTTCCTGACCCCCGAGTTGAAAGTTTCTTCTGTGTTCCTTTAATAACAACACCCTGTATTTCCCCTATTCTGTAGAACATGGTGGTTAATTATTTCTGTACCTATATTCCTTCTAGGCAACCAGGCTGTAAGTTCTGTGTACACTAGCCGTTGAGTAATCTTGTTTGCCATAGTCTCCGCTTGATAAATATTTGAGTGAACAGGTGGTGTTTTCTGAGTACTGTAAAATGTTTTGTTTCTGTTGTAGGTGCTGTCTCTGCTGGCCTTTATCTGTGAAGAAGTTGTATCCCAGTGCACTTTGTGTGGAGGACTTTACTTCTTTGAATTTGTAAGCTGCAGCGCCTTTCTTCTGAGTCTCCTTATGCTGATTGTGTACATCTCTCCACTTTATGACAGAGTTGATGCTGACAAAGTCAAGTTATCGGTAAGCATGAAAAAACATAATCTCTGTATTAAGAACCTAGCTATTTTGGAATCTTGTATTGTTTTATTACTCAAAGTAGTAACACTTTTCAAATGCCGTAACATGAGAAGGGTTGTTCCAATTCTGCCTTTAAGCAGCTCAGTTTTCCCTGGCAAATGGGATGATAGAAGGGAAAGTGAAATTAGAATGAAAGTGACAAATACTACCCCTAGTTTATAATTACTGGTGGTTTAATCTAATTCACATTAGATATTTTTTTAAAAACAAGGATTTTTGTCACTTTTGATTTCTCACATTTCACAGTGTCACTTGTTGGTTATACAGTTATTCACTGTGTACCTGTTATACACCAGGCATCATACTAGAACAGGGGTCGGCAAACTGTGGTTTGCGAGCCACATGCGGCTCTGGGTACGTTCCGTCTCAAAAGTTTGCCAACCCCTGTGCTAGACACTAGAGCTACAGTAATGAACTAATGTGCTATATTTCTGGAGTGTATAAAATAAAACAGCGTGTAATTCTACCTATTTTGTTTTGATTTTATTATGAAAAAAGTTGTGTATAAGTGAATTAAGAGGACATTTATTAGAGATAACTTTCTAAAGACTTAGTCGGCTGACCCTGTGTTTTTATTTGAGTATAGTATGCATTTGTGAGATGACTGATGAACTTATTCACCTATGTACTGTATTTAAGGAGGATCAATTTTTAACTATTAAGAACAAGAGATAATAGGATAAATATAAAGCAATAAGATTATGTTTTTTTAATTAATGAGAAGCAAGCATTGACTCATTGATTATACACCTTTTACTTTTTAAAAAATATTTTACACCTTTTACTTTTATATTTACTTTTTAATACATTTGCTTTTTTCTATATACATCTTTGTACATCTTAAATTTTGTGTCGTAGGAATATATTACCTTGTTTTAAAACAATTATTTTAGGTTAAAAAAAATTTTTTTTAAGTTGATAACAGTTAAAAAATAACGTTTTTTAAACCTAGAGCTGGACAGAAACAGGTAGAGCTGAATCAAACCCATCAGGTCTTTGATGAGCTCATACATGCAGTTCTAGTTCTTGGAATGGCCAGTGGACGACCATTTTGTTATTTTACTGATAACAGCTGCTGTCAGTGCACACTGTGCGTCAGGTATTTTATGTGCTGTGATTTAGACTCCTCACACTTTAATGCTCCATTTTTCTGTTGAGGAAACTTGGGTTCAGGGTGGTTAACTAACTTGTCCAAAGTCACGCAGATAGGGTAAAAAGAAACTGAGATCTGACCCCAGGAAAGCCCTCACACTCTGCATTCTATCACAGGGCCTAAGCAGAATCTTACTAGAACCAGTGCCCTAGCAACTGTAGATGCTGTCATGGCAGATAGCATCACCACAAGAATCTCTGTATAACAATGACAACAATAGAACTCATTGACTTTATGAAATACATATAAAAAGAGGATGCAGAGAGAATACCTTAGAATGTTTATTATATTTATAATCTTTGAAAAGTCTTCCTTTTTACAGAAAAGTATGTGATAAGATTTGGACACGGAAAAATTAGTGTCTGAGCTAATTGATTTGTAGTTTGAACGTATAAATTTATATTTGAAACATTAAAAATTAAAATCATTTGTTCATTTCCTGTCTCAACAGCAAAACAATATCAGTACCCATAAGAATATTTTAATAATTGTTTAGTTTTTACTTTAGTGCTACATCAGTAGTGTTTAAGAACATTGATCTTTTTGACAAGAAACAATATTATAATATTTTCCAGTTTACTGTAATGGTCTAACTAAAGTAAACAAAATAAAACATTTATTACATCAAACTTGAGCATTTAAAAAGTTATTTTTGAGTAAATACTGATTTAAATACTGAGAACAAAAGAAATAAGTCATTTTATCTTAAAACAGCTTTTGTAAATATTTTGCTATACTGTATTTCTTTTGGGTTTTTTGTTTCTGTTAATAGGTAATTTAAAAAATTTTAAATAGTCGTAATCAGGTATATATATTCAGATATATATGTATCAGATACACACACACACACGAGGTGCCAAAAAAATATATACACATTTTAAGAGATGTTATCTATGTATTACTTTTCGAAGTTCAATTGAATTATGGTGGCAATGTGTAATATGACGTTTGCTCAAAAGATGGCGTTAATCAAATGAATGCATAGCGTCACCATGCGAGAGGCAGGACAGTCAAAGAAAAATACAGCTTTTTCATTTCCTTTTCTTAAAATGTATACACATTTTAAGAAAAGAAAATTGAAATGTGTGTACATTTTTTGGCACCCTGGTATATATTCTACTTTTCACCTAACATCGTAAGGATTTCATGTTTGTTTTAATGGTTTAAAAATCACTTTTATGTGGAGTATAGTGTGGGAATGGAGTCAATGGAATTGTAATAGATAAGTATGATATCGGGGGAGGAGGGTTGTCATTTTGTGAGGGGTGAAAAGGATAACTATTGCATTGTTTTGTACACCTGAAACTAATAATAAAAAAATAATAAAAATAAAAATCACTTTTACTGTGTGCATATTAATGTACTTAAATTTTAAATATATTTTCATGTAAAAGAGGTTTTTGTTTTTTAAAGAAAATGTTTTGAGTGTGTGGTGATAGTGTCTAGGGTGGAATGATAATCTTTTATAAGAAAGAATCTTTTCTATTTTTTGCTACTGTGGGTCAGATTCTATCAAGAATAACAATAGCCACCATTTATGGAATATCAACTACATGCCTGGCACTGATCTAAGCACTTTCTATGGGTTAACACTAATCTTTAGAGTCACCTTATGAAGAAGATACTGTTATTACCCCCATTTTGCAGGTGAAGAGACAAAGGCACACTGATGTTAAGTAACTAATTCAAAGTCATAGAGCTAGGAAGTAGTGTCACTGGGATCTGAACTCAGGTCATCTGGCTCTAGAACCCATGTTTATTGAATACTGCAATATTCTGTCTCAAAATGATTGTCTTGTTTAAATACCTCCTTAAATGTACTCCAAATATTAGTAAATAGAGTTATATATATATATAACTTATTATATATGTATATATATATTATATATAATATTAGTAAATAGAGTTATATATAACATGCTGATGTGAAATAATATTCAAAGGAATAGAAAAAACAAAATACTGCAGAAAAACACCTCTTTTAGAAGCAAAGAGAAACCTCTTAAATTATTTATAAATGTTAAGTGAATGATTAACAGTGGTCTAGAAATTCTGTGGTGGATAGTTTGATCAATGTTAGGGTTAGTGGAGACTGCATTTCAGAAATCTCAGACAGCACCAAACCTAAAACGCTTTGGAGTGGCTGTTGCTTACCATTTTCCTCTCTGAATCATGTATGTCAAGCCCTGTTTTCAGCTGGCATATGAGAGAGAGCATTATGAGGAAGTGCTTCAGAGAGCACTTGGAAACTCATGAAGAACTTCAGCATTGTAAGCTGCATTATGATGAGATTAGGAAGCTTTCATGGTAGCTAGCTTGTCATTCAAGCTCATTGTGGGCTACCCACTTGGAACATTTGAAAGTACGTAAAATGTTACTCCAGAAAGTTTAAAGGTCTAAAATAACATACTGTTGGCATAATTTTATTTAGTTAATGATGGGTGGTTCTTTTCTTTATTTTTTATGATTATTATTATTTTTTCAGGTGTACAAAACAACATAATGAGTGGGTGGTTCTTTTGATTCTTTCTTTTGCAAAGTGCTTTCAAAGCACCAAAGTACTCTTAGAGAGGCCAAAGTATCCAACAGAATACTTTTGAAAGGGAAGAAAAAAAGTAAGATACGATTTAATAAATCCTTTGGCTTTGATAATTTTAATATGTTCTAGAGAGAAACACACACACACACACACACACACACGACCTTTTGAGGAACTGTTTTTATGAAAAGATTATTTTGTGATGTACTCTCTGAATATATGCCCTGTCCAAAGTGTGGCTAGGGTTCCTTTATAGGGTATTTCTTGAATGCCAGGGTTATTGAAAAGTTAGAAGTCAAAGTATGTAAATATGGGTTGTGTGAAGGAAAAAAAAGTAAGTCACTGAAGATTTTTAAAAAGTAAAACATTTGTTTCTATCAACCTAACCATGCTATATTCCTTATGTGTTTTATATATATGTGTAGGACTTTTATATTACTTTGGGGATAGGATGTCTGTTCTTGTTGGCATCCATCATTTTCGTTTCTACACATGACAAGACTTCAGCTGAATGGGCTGCAATTGTAAGTACCTTGTATTTTTATCTTTGCTTAGTTTTGTTTCATTAGAAATATGAAATCTGGAAAGTACTTGACAAGTTATACACTATGGGAGAATAATTTGTCTTTTAACTTATTTTTTAGCATAATTTTGAATAGAAGATCTAAAAGCAAATAATGATAGCTTTAAATATGATAGCTTTAAAAACTTAGAACCTGTCTTTAGAATTTGAGTTTTGTTAACAAAAACCCATTTATTCCACATACGAACATGGAAGTGGTAGAATTGAGTTTTGTTTTTTTTTTAGCCGAGCCATCCTGTCACCTGTTGGCAGCTCAGCGGCTGCTCAGCTCGTGCTGGGACTCGAACCGATGTTGCTCAGAGCTCACACTCTTGTGCAAGCTCTTAACCAACTGAGCCATTCGGCTAGCCCTTAGAATTGACTTTTATTATCTTGCATTTCTCTACTTTTCAGTTTAACAGAAACACTCTTACATGCCATGTGCTGTTCTAGGTGTAGAGAATAACAGGAGAAATTATCCCAAATTGAGCCTAATAAAAGAGATGGATAAGTAAACCTTTTTATCCTGGGTGGGGAGCAGATTTATTTTAGAATTCTGAATATTTTGGATTTTAGAAAGGTAATACTGTATATATACTTTATTACACAGTACTTTCAGAGGAGCTGGGTAGCATTTTGTAATCCAGCATGTTAATATTTATGAAGCATATGAATAGTCACAGTAAAAGGGATATTTCTACTTTGTGTTGATTTTGAGCAAAATAAATTATTTGTAGCTTTTTTGGATTTCAGAATTGTAAATTAAGGATCATAGACCAGAATTGGAATCAGTGTTGTGAACGTGAATGACTAACAACAGGATAGCAGATCCTCTTGCAAGTCAGCTGGTTTCCAATTGATACTTTGTTCATGACAAAATTGAAGTTGTAATTAATTGAGTTGCTAGCTAATAGATCATTAAAATGACTTTTTTATGATAGAACAACTTAAAAGGAGTTTAATAGTTGCATGGCTATAATCTATCTGCCTACCACGGTTTCTTAGCACTTAATATGTGTAAAAACAAAACAGAAATGAAACTAATGCTGAACCATGACTCACTCTAGCAATGTGTATCCATGGATACATGAACCAAACCAATTGAAGAGAAAATCAAAGTTTTAATAGAGCCTATGATTAATTTCAGTTTATGGACATATTTTTGTTGCAGAGGAGTATGATAGGGTGATGAGGAAAATATTTTCAAGTATACAAATATATTACTATAAAATGCTGTGAAAGAAGTGAAATGGAAGTTGAGGAAAAGTTGAGTTTGGGGGGAAAAAAGCATGGCATAAAATTTCCAGCTATTAGTAAACAGCTTATTTGTGTGTTTTAATTAGATGATATGTTAGATTGTTATGTTATTAACAACGTTATGTTAGTATTTAGATTTCATTGGCTATGTTTAACAGTTACTGGTAGTTTAAAAACTCATTTATAATATGCTAGAAATTATCTTTTGCAACTGTTTAAATTATGAAAAATTCTGTAGAATCAAATGAGGGGGTCCGTTTTTCAAGAAAATTTTGTGAAATAGGTGAGCAAAAGAGCTGGAAGATCATCTATCTGGATTATTTGGCATAAAGGGCCATAGATGGACTGGAGCTCTGTGAGGTGATCAGCAGCTTCACAGACATGGTGACATCTGGTCTACCTTTAAAGTATTGAAAGTTTGCCAGACCAATAAGGGGGAAGATGGCCATCAGGGGACAAGAGACTTGGGTTTTGAGGGTAGGGTTAATAATTAAATTTAGGTTGAATGTGTTGGGGACACCAAGGTAAATTGATTTGGAGCTCAGTTTGCTTTACAGTGAAATGAAGCAGAATGCATATTCTTTAGAGTGGAGGGGTTGGGTGTGAAGGGTCAAGAGATTGTAGCAGACTACAACAAAGCCTTAAAAATTATGGAGATGCAGGGTTAGAGTTGAAAGGGACTTTAACCATTACCTACATCAATTTTCACTTTTTACAGAACGCTTCTTTGGTCCCCATTTCTTTAAGGGTTTTGCTAGTGAGGAAGCTAAATTTGAACCATGGTCTTCTGTTTTTTCACAAAACTCTCGAAATGTTTGATATGTTAGAAGCGTACAATGAGGAAGTGATTTAAGGAAGAGGAAGTAGGTGGTGACGTCATGTTGCTGTGTCATTAGAGTGTGACAGTTAACAGGAAAATATTTTTTTTAGGTAATTTAACCTAAAAATATCTTTAAAATAGAATTTCTGTTTTGATATTAATAATTTTTTCCTATTTTACCTAGGCTCAGCTGCCTTCTCAGATATGTCCCTTATCTCATCTGTAGATAAATCTAACCATTGCTAATAATCCTGTGTATTGTATCATTTTATAGGATTTTTTTTTTTTCATCTGTTAACCTTAGTTTCATGGATTGGCACCCCACACATACACATGTACATATAAGATACTTGTATGTTGTGAGACTAATAGCCATTATTCTGGAATTTTTTTTTTGTAGCTTCCTTCCATTTTTTGATAGAAAATTTTTTTACCACTAAAGTTAAGAATGTGTATAAGATAATATAGATGAATCATCTTGCTTGAATGAAACACTCTCAAAGCCAGGTAGGAAATGTGAAATTCTATTCCAGAAGTCCTCATATAACTTTCCCCCATTTTTCCTCCTCAGGTGTTTGGATTTCTAGCAAGTGTCATGTTCCTGTCTGACTTTGTCATTATGTTCTGTGAAAAACGAGAGGAATCCCAGCTGAGAAAACCTGAGACTACCGTTAGGACAGAGGCCCTCACTGAACCACTTAATGCTTAAAGACTCTAGGGAGCAGGTGTTACGTAAATTAGTGACTGCGTGGTGCCTGAGCCCAGGCAGAAGCTCTTGTACAATGTGTATAACTGTTAAACCACTTTTGAAGAGCAGGAGGAAGGACAGGGCTGTGTGTCAGTCACCACAGTTTAGGCCGGAGGGTTTTTGTTTTTTTTAAATTTTTTTATAACAGTTGAAACTTGTATCAAATGAAGTTTTTTTTTTTTTTTTTGGAGGTGAGGGCAATTGTTTCTTTAAATCACAGCTCAACTGATGATACATTATTCTGTCACTGTTACTAGGCTTAGCTTTCAAACTATGCTTTATATTTGTATAAATGCATGATTAAGCTCATCTGTTTATAAATTGTTTCATTTTTTACTTTAATTTGCTTAGTTAGGTTTTTTGATGATTAGATACAATTTAATATATAAATTTTTAAATTCAATATTTAAAATGTTGGTCTAGGTTTTTTCCTTAAAATATAATAATAACCAGGCTTTAGTATATCTCACTCAGCCTTAAAATTATACTGTAACAATTTAGGATAATTATTATTAACTCTTTTATAGCCTAATAGAAAATATATGGGGGATTTTGCTATTTTATATATATAAAAGCAGCAACGGTCCACAACCCCATTTTTATGCTGCACTTTGGTTGTTGACCAAGTAAAAAAAAAAAAAAAAAAAGACTTACATAACAGAAGAGTGGAAGAAACTGATACCATGCCTAAGGACCAAAGATAAAGATATACTTTTTGCGCAATACAGTGAAATTACAAAAGCAGGCTTCGATCACTTATCAAATGCCTGAAGAGATGAGTTCATAATCTGAGTTAGGACATGGTCCGTTCTCCTATTGGCATATGACCCTTTCTACTGAAATTAATACAGCTCTTCAGGTCCTCTTCAGATGTTTTCTTTGGAGTCAGTCATCTTTTCAAAACCGCAGCCTTTGATTTTTCATGTATTTGAGATGCTCCCTTTTTTGTCTCCTTATCAGAATGGTCCACACACTGCTTCATCATCAGGCAGAGGTGGGACCTCTGCCTCTCTTTCTTTTTGGCAGTTGCCTTTCGATGGTCCAGAATCTTGGGCCCTTTTAATTGCATAGAGTGTTAGCAGAATCTTTAGGGATTTTGTTCCCACGAAAGCACTGCTCTAGCTTCTCTTTGGAGGAGACCTTAAGAAAGTGATTATCTAGAGAATCTTGCCCACATTAATACTGTTGATGGTGTAAGGGAGTAGTCAAACATTTCTCAAGAGACACTTCATAACCACTTCTGATCATTTGGAAGAATTGTCTGTTGCTGGTAGGTTGTCTTAGAGCCAACCTGACAAGGCACCTGGGATAGGACCTTTCTGACCAAGTGGTTCACAGACTAGACCTTTCTTGTCCTCCTAGATTTTTGACTCAAGATTCTGGTGTTACAGCAATGAACCCATGTGTCAAGGACTTTGGTGGAGGTCTCCCCAGGTAGGCATGCTAGGTTTTCTATCTGAAAATTGGAATCATGTTTCCAGAGAGATAGATAGTTTAGTGACCCCATCTGTTTGTATCAGATTTTGGATGCTAGTGTTAGTGGTGATGCCACCACTGCCTGCTTGGGAGATAATGAAACCTATTATGGATGCTATTTTTACTGGGTGTGCCATCTAAGACAGGGGGAATAGCCTGGGTCTTGGATTCAAGAATAAAGACTGGTTCAAAGATAATCAAGTTATGATAGGCAAGTTCTGGAATTTCACATCAAACTGTACCGTTGCCATTTGAATATCATCTAGACCCAGCTGGGATTCACAGCAAATCGTCTAGGGTACCTCAAGGTCCCCATCCATGCATTGGGTTTAGTTGAGTTTGATGGCCTTGTCCTCAGCTGGCCTCCTACATATAGAGTGTTTGCCGTGAGCGTAAGCTCTGGTTATTCTGAGGTTTCACTTCCATTTGTTTCATTGGTGTAGAAGTGGGCCTCTTAGCTGACCTCCTAATCCTTTCCTTTCCAGAAAGATAATATATTCCCTGGCATTTTTGTTCACTCTAGAACCTTTCTTCACATTGGTTTTTTTTGTTTGTTTTTTTCCCCTTCCCACATTGGTTTTTATGGGAACCTTAACTGATTATCCTCCCTCTTCTACTTTAGAAGGAATTAGAAGTAAAACGACCATTGTGGTCAATAAAAAGTTCAAGGAGAACTTGGGACCAAAACCACTGTTAACGTACAGAAAAGGGCAAACTCAATAAACTTAAATTTAAAATAATTTATTTAACATCTATGGTAAATTTAATGTTATATTTTATACAAATGAACTGTTTAGAATGGTTCTTAATAATTATAAGGGACATGCACACTTACAATACAGAAATTTTTACAATTGCTATACTTAAATTATGTTCTGTTTGGGGACCGGGAAATGTATTTTTACATTGTTTATAGCCAATCACTTTTGTATTTATCAATTTAAATCCTGTGGGTCTTTTTTTATCTCTGTGTCAAATTTTGTAGTCATCTTTTTAAATAAATCTATCTTATTGTCCATACCTGTGTAGTTGTTTAATTATTGCAGAAGCATGATATTTAGAGGAAAGCTTTCTCCAGAGTTCTAGGAACGGGACCTACAACTATGGTGAGTACCTATTTGCAATGCTGGACTGTGGTTCTACCCAGGTGCAGGACACAGGTAACAAATAAATAAAACCACTTTCTACCCATGGGCTGGCCCTCTTGTTGGAAAGTTGGAATATACATTCAGACAATTTTAGGGAGCCATGGATGAAGAGTTATAAAGGAATGTTTATGTTTATGGAGTAAATGCCTTTATATACTTCCAAAGAAGCAAATTTGGACTATCCATCACTTTCTTGATGTGGCTAACTAACAATGCTAATAACAAAATAGGCACATTCTCCTTAGGACTTGCGCAATGATTGGGAAAGCGTGAAGCAAAACTAGGGTGGTTCTGGTAGAGCTACGACTATTTGTGTAGTTTGCAAAATTCCTGCCTCCAGCCTGTCTGAGAATAACAAGGTCTTTATAGTCATCAAGAACTCATTGGAATTTGTACATTCTTCAGAGTTTTGTGTTTTGTTTTGATAAAGAGCATTGTATCAATATGCAGTTGACTGCAAAGAGCAGAAAACCTAATTAAGTGGATCTTACACATTAAGGAAAATTCATTTCACAAGAAGTCTGGGTAGAGCAATTCCATGACTAGTAAATTCAGTGGCTTGGTGGTATCATCAGGGACCATGTTTCTTTCCATCTTTTCCTGCTCACCCATCTTCTGCCATGAGTTTTGGCCCTCAGGATTGACCCTTACTGTGTAGCAAGATGGTGGCAACATCTCCAGGTACCTTCGCTTACACAGCAATGTTCAAAGGCCAGAGAGGAGACTGTTTATTCTTCTGTGTCTCTCTAATTAAAGTGTTCCTTTTTTTTACGGAATTCCCTCAGTGGACTTCACCTCCATGCCTACTATTGGGTTGTCGGGAAAGTCATGACGTATTTTTCTATGTTTTTCAATGCAAAAATGTGTTATGATTTTCCCGATGACCCAATAGAAGACCTTAAATGCCCATTTGTAAATCACTTATTGACGTAGAGAATGGAATTACTGTAATTGGCTGAAACTAGTCAAGATTCCTCCCCTTAGGTTGTGAATACCCTTTGAAGCAGATAGTCTTTTAATACCTGAACAAAACTGATTCTGTTAGCAACAAAACGGGCCATTGGGTCGGGAATCAAAAGTGTCTGGGATAGCATGTTAAGGATTGTGCTCCAGCTAGGAGAAATAAAATTCCAGTTTAAGGCTTTTTTTTTTTTTTTTTTGGGTAGGCCTGACTACTACAAAACAATTAAAAATAGAAAAACTAACAGTTTTTTTTTTTAGACTAAATTCTATAAGTAATGTATATCATAGAAAATTGGTTTAATAAAAGGTAGGAAGTATTGTTCTTCCCTTGATATCTTTGCCTTTGGCTACTTTTATTTTTAATTTTTGAAATATGACAAGCACTGGAAATAGAGGATGACAACACCTGTTGTAGACACCACCCAGCTTTAGTAGATCATAACATTTTAACATATTTGCTTTAAGGATCCTTGTTTAAAAAAGAAAATGAAGTTACACTTTTAAAGCACTACCACCTCTAATCTTGTTTTATTTCCTTTTTTAAAGGTAAACACTCCCTTGAATTTGGGGGGTATCATCCCTGTTTTTACTGTCCCTATTATATATACACAAGTGTATCTAAACAATTACATGGTATTTGTGCTATCTGTATCCTTTCATAGCTTTTTCAGTCAGTATTTTGAAATGTTTCTTGTACATGTTATTCTAGTTTCATTCCTTCTAAGTGCCATTTGGTATTCCAGGGTATGAATACACCACAATTTACTTCTCATTCCCCTGCGAATAGAAGTTTTAATGTGATTTTATTTTTTACCATTTCAACGATGTTGACAGTAAACAAGCGTACTTGAACATCTCATGCATATGTGTGAGAGTTTAGATGTTGAGTGTGTACTTAGAAATAAAATGATTGGGTCAGAGGGTATGTGCAATTTCAACATGGTTAGCTATTTTCGAATCGGTCTCCAGAGTGATAGAACCAGTTCATATTCTCAGCAGTGTGGGAGATTGCTTATTTCCCCCACTCTTGTCTTGTACTTAATATTAGTTCAGCTTAACAGTTTTGCCAATCTGGGACTAAATGGTCTTACATTTTATTTTACATTCCCCATGTTACCAGTGAGCCTGGTCATCTTTCCACTTTTTGTTGCCCCTTTAGGCTTCCACACATCTGTGAGATGTTTCTTTATATCCTTTGCCTCTTTTCATATTGAGTTTTTCTTCCTCATTTGAGAGCTCTCAACATATTATGGGTATTACCCTGTGTTAGTAATATGCCTTGGAGATACCTTCTCACAATGCGTGATTTATGTTTCAACTTGGCTTCTGGGGTTACCTCAAGGTCAGAGATATTCTCTACTTTCTAAGTGTTTAAAGATTTGCATTTTATATTTAGTACTTGATTTTGCCTTGATTTTTGTGTCATTTTATATTTAGTGCTTGATTCTGCCTTGATTTTTATGCCTGAGTACCTCTTACCATTTGATTTATTGTTTCAGCAAGTGGTCCCCTGCTCCTCTGATAGACAATGTTGCTTGTGTCATTTACTAAGTTTATATATATGCGTGGTCTGGTGCTGGCTTTCTTGGCCTATTTTTCTATACCTGTGCCAATACCCCAATTTTGATAAAATCTTAATATCGTTAGGGCAAGTTCAAAATTGTTCTGTTCTATTCTTTGATGATGATGATGATTATTTTACTTTAAAGACTTTTTAGAGCAGTTTTAGGTTTACAGTAAAATTGGGAGGAAGGAACAGGCATTTTACTTTTTACTATAAAGTTTTAAGATGGGGTTGGCAAGTTCCATAAAATAGCCTTATTGATTATTTTTCTTTGAGTTGCATTGAACTTATAGATTAATTTTGGGAGAAATGACTTATGATTGAACTTCACAGTCATGAAATAGGATCCCCACTGATTTAGGTCTTTTATTGTTTTTCAGTAAAGTTTTATGGCTTTCTTTATAAAAGTTTTACATATCTTTCATCAGATTTATCCCACATACTTTATTTTTGTAGCTACCCAGAATGGAATCCTTACTTAAAAATTACATATTCTGAGGCCGGCCGAGTGGCGCATTGATTAAGAACTGGCTTGGGATGCCAGAGGACCCCGGTTCGGATCCCACATATGAGGGCCAGTGACACTGCCCTCTACAGCTGAGATGCTGAACAACAGCTCAACCTGGAGCTGGGCTGCCGTGAGTCGCCAGGGACGGCATAGGCTGCAGCCCCTGTGGCAGTGGGTTGCCATGGGCTACCGTGTGTAGCCAGCAGCCGCTGTGAGCGGCCATCCAGAAGCCAGCTACTGATCTGCCTCGCCCGGGAAGAGCGCAATGATGGTGCCAACTTGGGCCAGTGAAGCAACGTCCTCCACAACTAGACTGAAGAACAAAATGATAGCAACTTGTCTGTTCCCCTACCCCCAATTCCCCAGCGCTGTTCCCATCCCCGAATTCCCCAAAAAAATCTTTAAAAAAAATTACATATTCTGATTAGAATAGTGGAATAGGGGGGCTGGCTGAGTGGTGCATTGGTTAAGAGCTGGCTTGGGACGCCAGAGGGCCCTGGTTCAGATCCCACATATAAGGGCCAGTGACACTGCCCTCTACAGCTAAGATGCTGAACAACAGCTCAACCTGGAGCTGGGCTGCCGTGAGTCGCCAGGGACGGCATAGGCTGCAGCCCCTGTGGCAGTGGGTTGCCATGGGCTACCGTGTGTAGCCAGCAGCCGCTGTGAGCGGCCATCCAGAAGCCAGCTACTGATCTGCCTCGCCCGGGAAGAGCGCAATGATGATGCCAACTTGGGCCTGTGAAGCAACGTCCTCCACAACTAGACTGAAGAACAAAAGGACAGCAACTTGTCTGTTCCCCTTCCCCCAATTCCCCAATAAGAATCTTAGAAAAAAAAGAATAGTGGAATAGGAATGTGACTAGTTCTTATTGATGTCATGTTCAGCAGTGTTGCTGGCATCTGTTGTTACCTCTAATAGGTTGTGTATGGATTCCTGTAGAACATCTCACATTCTGGATTTATCTGTTGTGTCCTTGTGTTGTTTAACTTGTTCCTCTATCCCTGTTATCGCCTCTAAACTGAAAGGTAGCTCCAAAGGCTTGCTTAAAATCAGGTTAGTCTTTTTCTGTTTTCAAGGTTTTCCTGTAGGTGATGCTGTGTACTTCATCAGGCAGTGCATATTCTCCAGAAGTATCACACTTAATGTACACTTAATCAGTGGGTTCAGGTGCTGACAGCCTGATCCCTCCCACTGTAAAGTTTTCCATCATCTTTTTAGCTATAAGTTTCCATGTATTGATATTTGTCTAAATCTGTTATTTTATCAGAGGTTGCAAAATGACGAATTTATAACTCTGTAATTCCTGCCACCTTTATTAGCTAAAGTTCTTCAGTGATACTTTTATATTTTTAGCATGCATGTTTGACTTTATAAAAATTTGTAAAGTTAATCAGTACCCCTACCCATCTACTGTGTTATTATTGCCTAGTAGTTTAAATTTATCTTGTTTTATTGCCTAGTAGTTTAAATTTATCTTATTTAAGTTAGCTATTATTGCTGTTTTATGCAGTCATTGCTTTTATTAGATCTGCCTGTATATTTTATTTTTTGCTCACCATTGCTTGTTTGCATTCTACTTATTTTTGGATCCTGTTTTCTTCTGACTCAAATGTTAGTTGTCTTTTCAGCAAGAGTCTAAAAATATGTTTGTTTTGCTTTTTTTTTTAAAGATTTTATTGGGGAATTGGGGGGAGGGGAACAGACAAGTTGCTGTCCTTTTGTTCTTCAGTCTAGTTGTGGAGGATGTTGCTTCACTGGCCCATGTTGGTGTTGGTATTATCATTGCTTTCTTCCCAGGTGAGGCAGTCGCTTGCCAGCCATTGGACGGCCA